AGTGACGCAGTAGAGACGAAAATGTGGAATAAAGTCGTTATTTTTGTTTTCCTTTGTTTCCTCCCTGTCTATGGGAGGGTAAGAGACAGGGCTGTACAGTGCGACATATATGCTACGTGCTACGAAAAAACTGGTCTGTGCGATGAATAAATTTACCACTGTAGCACGCGTGCCGTTTCAAACCCGTAAGACCTTCGTTCATCTTCGGAACACAAATTAAGATATTTTTTATTAAATCGGAGAGCTCTCAGACCCTCCATAGACAGCAACACAACTGTAAACAATGTAATAAAAAATATCTTAATTTGTGTTCCGAAGATGAAGTCTATCCTTCTATTAATCTAACTATATGTTTATTTATTTATATATTTAGTTAGTTTAATTGCTATTAATGTATAAGATGGTTTTGCTGTACTGAGCTGAAGAGGCTTGACTCGTCTCCTTTGGGTGGCTGTGGAAAATGCATGGCAGGGTGTTTTTGTTTTTCTGAAAACTGGTTTAAGCGCCAACTGTCTCTGTATCAGCATTTTACTTTTAGTAGGGACTTCAGCATGTTATTTAATTGGGAAAATTTGTGTTTTAGCAGTTTTTACTAGTCGTCATTTTTCTGAGTGAACTACAGACCAAATGAGTGAACCAAATATGAAGGATTCTGCAGTGGTCATTGACGTATTTCCTCTGTGTTCTGTTTGTCTGACTGCTTTCCTGTTCTGTCTGCAATACAGCAGGTCATTTCCCCCGCCTGACATTGTCTCAGGCAGTCTTTATAGGACCAACTCTATACTTCCAGATAAAAGGCTGTAAAGGGCTTGTGTTTGTTTTTCATTCTTTGAAAAGTATTGAGATTGTTCCTGTATTTGAGAGATGAAAGACACAGAAGAGGAGACTTGCCTCTGTCACACACTGCAGTGCACCCATACAACAAAAAACCCAAAAAAACACACCTAGGAAAGAAAACTGTGACAGTACCCTAGTACAGTGATTTTTCAGATACCACTTTAACATATTATGGTACTGAATGTTCACCAGAAACAAAAAACCATGATATTTTTTACAGTACATAGTACTCCAAGGTACTTTAAAGTAGGGATGCACCGAAATGAAAATTCTTGGCCGAAGCCGAACAAAATGAAACACTGGGCCGAATACCGAACACGGTTTTTCGCATTTTTCCCCCATGTAGGCCTATTTTGCCATTTTTTTTTAAATCATTGCATTAATTAAATTGCCAAAATGTGCTTTTTACTGCTTTGTCCTGCTTTTCAAATAAAAAATCAATTACAAAACAACCATTTTAAAATATTTACTTAACACTGAACATTTTTTTTACATTCTAGCAGACATTATACCAACAAAGCACAATTTAACTTAAAATTAATAAATTAGTAAAATAATATTTTTTGGCCATTTTTGAGACTTGAATCAGGCATGTATTTTTTACTGTACAAATAAAGGCAGCCTTGCTGAGTCTTTTAAAGGGGTCATATGATGCGATTTACATTTTTCCTTTTTCTTTGGAGTGTTACAAGCTCTTAAAGAAGATCTGTAAAGTTGCAAAGACTAAAGTTTCAAATCCAAAGAGATATTCTTTATAAAAGTTAAGAGTCAACCACGCCTACCTAAAACGGCTCGTTTAAACACGCCCCCACATATCTACGTCACGATGTGGGAAGATTTGCATAACACCGCCCAAATGTTCACGCAAAGAAAGAAGACGTAACTTTTATTCTCGCTGTAGTATTGTAG